GTAGATGAGTTCATGCATTTGAATGATGGCGCTGATGAAGGATATTGAATATACTCTGGACCGACAGGTGAACAAACAAATCTGTGCTGGAAGACGTATCGCCTGAATTCGTCTTAGAAGCGAGGTGAGTAGAATTTTCATCACATGCGCTTTGAAGGACAGTGGGGCATCAGCCAAGAAGAGGTCGATCCGCAGCAAAATGGACTGACACAGGGGCTGCAGCACTGAGCTAAACAGCCCCCATCCTGGTGAGGAGGGACAGACTTGGAAGCCCCTGACAACATCAGTGTCACGTGTGCATGCTCTTTAGCCCAGCGATGGTAGGTCTGCAAGTCTCTCCTTCCACACGCACAGAGAAGGAGAATTACCGAAGCACTGTTTGCAACAGAAACGTCAGCAAGAGGAGGATGGCTACTCAATACTGGCATCTTCAAACAGAGACTAGAAAGCTTTAAAAGACCCGAGGCAACTTCTCTATTAACAACTGTCCAAGAGCTACTCAACAAAACAAAAAAACACTGCCATCAGGTCCATTTCAACTGACAGAGACCCCAGAGCACAGGCAGCACTGTCCCTGTGAGTTTCCGAAATGAATTCTCTATGGGCTCGAAAGCCTTCTCATTCTCCTGAGAAGACTGGCTGGTGGTTTCAAACCACTGACCTGGCAGTGAGAAGCCCAGCAAGTAACCACTATACCACCTGGGCTCTTCCATTAGCTACTGTATAGTTAAAAACAACCTAACCAATTACTCGTATTGTATCGCTACATTTCCCCCAAAACTCTTTCTTCACCCACAGTCTCTTCTCAACTCAGCGTTCCTTTTAAAAAAAATCATTTTACTGGGGGCTCGTACAGCTCTTATCGCAATGTATACATACATCAATTGTCTAAAGTGCATTTGTACATTTGTTACCCTCATCATTCTCAAAACATATTGAGCATTCCTTTTTGAAAAAACACATGTCAGAGCCCTGTGATTCCTCAGCCCAACCCACCTATCGACTTCTGTTCTCACTCATATTTTAAAAAGTCAGAGTCCTCACCATGATGTATCATCCCCAGCTTGTGTTCTCTGAGCCTCCGGTAACTCCCTGCGTAATGCAAATGGTTTGTCCTCAACTACAAACCTGAAGCTTGATTCGTTTCCCTCACCCATGGCACCAGGACAAAAGGCCTAGGGCTCTGTTTGAAGACCCTGCAGAGCCCACTCATACTCAGTCGTACCCCGAAACACTGGAGGCCGGGCGGCAGGTGTTGGAATCGCCACCCACAAACTTGGGTTGGCTTGTGTATCTGGCTCTCCCTCCTCCTCTCTGCAGGGCTGATCACGTTGGCCGCCTTTCCAGTCTGTCTGGAAATTCTCTTCCCCTCACACCACCATAGCTGCTTCCTCCCGTCCCTGTGCCTCTGCCCAGACCACACCACGCAGTCACCCCGTTGGGAGAGTAGGCGCCTCTTCACCCTTCACCTAGTCCCAGCACACTATTCTCTTCCCGGCCCTGTCCCTGCTAACTTGTTCTCCGAGTCCTTACACCATCTGTTCCAGGAGACATGTGCTTGTTTATTGGTTTATCATCTGTTTCTTTCCTCTAGAGCAGTAATTTCCCAAAGGAGGTGATACCTCCCCCCTGGCTGGGGCGGGGGGGCGGCGCAGCATCCAGCGGGTGGCACAGATGTTACCTACACTTTATCCTGGACCGGGAGCTAAAGTACAAAAGCTTGTCATGACCAGCGGGTGCTGAGTCAGCTCCCCCCTGAGGATGAGGTGGTAGGCCACATCAGAACAAAAGATCTAGACTCTAAGCCAAGAGGGCTGAGGTTTCCCCTGGCTTTTTTTCACTGCTGGGTTGCCAGCCCCTACAATAGTCTCTGGCCCAGAGTGGTGCTCCGCTAAGTATGCACTGACTAAATAAATAAAGTTCCATTATTTTTAATGTGTATCCAAACAGATGTGGAAAATACACAGGAAACTGCTCACAGTGATCACTGCTGGGAAGGGGGGCTGGAGAGAGCCAGGGGGAGAAAATTCACCTTTTAGTGCATACATTTCTGTAAGATTTGAAACATGTACTGCTTTTTAAATTTAAAATGAAATTTGAAGTATTTTAGAAGGAAAACATAGTGATTCCATCTCCCCCCCTTCCGGGTAATTCAGAAATACTCTTTGGGGTTTCTTTGGGGAGCCACTGACTAATTATTGTCTAAAGGAACTATCCTGGGCCCTGGTGGCATAGTGGGTTACTCACTGGGCTGCTAACTGCAAGGTCTGAGGTTCAAACCCACCAGCTGCTCCGTGGGAGCAAGATGCCGCTGTCTGCAGACTTACCATCTTAGAAGTTCTCAGGAGTGGTTCCACTCTACCCTACAGGGTCACTAGGAGCCAGAATGGCCTCAGAGGCAGGGGGTTGGCCTTGTCTCCACTGAAGACAGAGTTCAAAATCCACCAGTGAGCCCCGTCTTTGTGAATTCTACCGCCATCAACTAGAACAGGAATGTAAGATGCACACAGGTACTCACACACAGACACACGCACGCTCTATGGTTTGATGGAACCCTGGCCTCCTTTTTAACACACCTGACCTTTTCTTTACACTTTCCTGTGTAGGGATGTCACTAGTAACTTGGTGTGATTTTCTCTACATGGTAAAATCTTCAACACTGCTGTCAGAGTGGAACCAATCTAGCCCCATGAACGCTACACAATCCATGCTGTGCTAGACAGGAGCCTCTAGAAAACACGTGCAATGAATGGCATGCGTCTCAGGAGCACGTCCAGGCGTTGTGGCAGCTGCAATGGTTGCCATGGAGACCGCTCCAACTCAGGGCAGCCCTGGAGTTTCAGAGCTGAACCGAACCACACAGGGTGCTCCTGGCTGTGACGTTTCGGAAGCAGAATGCCAGGCATTTCTTTCAAGGCACTTCTGGGGTGGGGCTTGAACCGCCAACCTCTCAGTTGTAGTCCAGTCTAACCTTCTGCGCCACCCAGGGACTCCAAGTGATAATCCCATTAGGAGTTGGACCACCGCCCTGGGAACACCACGGCTACAGCCCTAAGGATATGGCTTTTCCTGCGTGCTTCACCAGTCATGTGGTGATCCTTCAGGGGATCTCCCTGACAGAATAAGGAATGGTGGCGGGGGGTGGGG